TTGATTTTAGTATTTTCATTCTCAAGGTACAGTATTAAAATGTTGTCTAAAGAAAAAACTGGAATTAATTCCCTACAAAAGTGAGTTTTGCCTGACCCTGTAAAGAAAAAAGTAATTTGTTTAAAAGTTTTGACCTGTAGTTTATTTGTTTTAGAGTAGGCATAAGAGACCTCCCCCTCCTTTGGGGAATTCCAGAAGTCGCTTGCATTTGCAGTTGATTTTCAGACAGCTGGGACAGTATTAGAGTAGTTTTTCACTCCAGATCCAGTGTTCACTCAGGGACTGTTTCCATGGGTGGATTGTTTCTCTGGTGGGTCCAGAGTAGGAAGGAAACTTACTAAAACATATCCATTTGAAAAACAGTCCTGAAAGTGACCACTTGCATTTAGTACTGGGAGCGGTAAAGTTCTGGCTCCTTCTTCTGGTAGAACAGAGGCAGAGAGTTAAGAAGAGAATAGCTGATCCAGGCCTGAACTAGGGATAATACCTGCTGCAGCTGCTAGGTGAGTAGAGTTGATTGAAGAAGGAATGGGGAAACACAGTGTTATGTTTTATGGCAATGTATTTGTCTGATTAGTTATTAAAATTGCAGCCAAATTAAAGCAGATATTGGACATTTAATATTTCCAGACATTTCTTTTGTTTAGCTTTTATCCTTGTCAGCACTAAAGCTCCTGTTCCATTTAGCAGGAAGAGAATGAGACAGTCTCATCACTATATTTTATAACAGTCTACATAACTTTTAGGACTAGAATAAAAGAAATCCTGTTTCTATCCAGTACTGTAAGTATCTGCATAGCTTTTTCTTCATTGCCTTGCATATTACAAGCTTACAAGTAACATGAAATCCATAGAGTTTATAAATTCACTCAGTTTACTTTTCAGTGAATTATACAAGGCCCATGGGATAATCACTAAGTCATGGAGAACTAATGTCAGTGTTCTATAATATTGTTATACAAGCGACATCCTACCATGAGACTTTGCATATAGTCTTGTAGCGAGGTTGTAATTCTTTTTTATACATGGAAAATACAATTTCTCACTAAAAAATAAACCCAATTGTGTTCTCTACCAACTGCATTAAAATTACTATAATCTCTCAGGGGTTCATGTCTCAACCAGAGTCCTTTGTTTAGGTTTCTAGAGGATACTCTGTATTCTCTGTACACCTTGTATAGCAGCATTGCAGCCAGTTTTCATGTTGCTACTCCTATCACTGCTTATACCAATTTGTTTGCCAGCTTGATTTCCTAAAGTGGTGGAATAGTGATACCACATTCAATCCCTGATAGAAATTCCGTTGTGTTCCTGATGCATTCTCATTATCAAGAACGAGTAGGAATTAACTCCATCAGTGAAGCTCTTGTTGTAGAGGTTTGATTTGTCTTTTAGTGGATAAACTGCAGTGGATTTCCACATCCCTACTCCATTCATTCAGTCTTCATGTGGGAAAAAACTGGGCATAGGCAAGGACAGAGACTTTGCATTTTGGTTCAATATAAGAAGTAGCAGGAAAGGCTGAACCTTCTGAAGTTATTAATTTGATAAGGAGAGTGACAGTTGTAAAATTGTGTGGCTTTTTTCCTAAGTTACAAACACATTTAGTAAGCTACAGAATACGTTTTGCTCCAAAGAAAACATCAATCTGAAGTAGTATTATGTTAAATTCTTATGAAATTTTCAGATGTCTCATAGCATTGAGTTGAATCCAGGGATAGCATGATTTTTCCAAATGCATATCCGAATGTATGTAAATCATTATGTAAACAGCACTATGATTAGAGAGGAAATGTCCTTTATAAAAAGTTGAGCACCACAAGTATAAAACAAGCTCTTTATGAAGTCACAGGTAGGCCAACACCACTACTGTTCTTTCCAGGGCTTGGAAAGGGAACTATTTGAAGTAATGGGCTAACTGCATGGAAAGAAAGAACTTAATATTGAAAAACCTTCTTTTCCTCAGAGGCAAAAAATATTACAATTAGTCTGTTCCTGTTCTTATAGTTCATAGGAATATTTTGGAATTTTCCAACTGCAGCAGAAATTCTATATGGGACTGTAAATTCAGAGAATATCTCTCATTCATCATCCTAGTCTGTCCATCTGAGAAAAAATTTAGCTTTCCTACAAGTTCCTATAAGGCTGAGTATGCTGTGGTGCTAACCTATGCATTAGTCCTGTATTAGGAAAAGTATTTGTGTCACCTAATAATTTATAACTTCTTACCTAGATCCCTAAACCACAGGCACTGAATGCACAGGTTAGATAGTTTGCATCGAGTTATTCTCACAAATATGTAGTTCCCAGTTGATTTGGGTTGGAAATGATACCTGGTGGTCATCTCTTACCTACTGCTCAGAGCAGGGATAACGTCAAAATTGCATCAGATCTCTCAATGCCTTTCATATTGGAGTTTGGAAAATCTCCAAGGATGGAGTTCCCATAGCCTCCCTGGGCAACTTGCTCTAGTGCTTAACCACTTTCGTGGTGAAGAATTGCTTTCCTGGTGTGTAGCTTAAATTTGCCCCATAATCTATTGTAACAGTTATCTCTTGCCCTGTCATTGTGTCCCTCAAAGAAGAGTCTGGCTCTGTCTGCTTTGTAACCATCTATTAAGATCAGAGAGCTGCTGTTAGATGTCCCTTTGATATTCTCTCTTGTTAGTTGAACAGTTCCCTCAGCCCTTTCTTATATATCAGGCACTAATCCTGCTAGAGGACTTCAATCACATTGACATCTTCTGGGAAAGCAGCACATCAAGCTCTGTATAGTCCAGGAGACTCTTGGAGTACATTGAGGATAATTTCTTAATCCAGGTGATAGTTTAACTAGAGGGGAAGTGTTAGTGGACCTAATGCTTATCAATACTGATGAACTAATTAGTGATATCAAGACTGATGGCAGCCTGGACTGCAGTGGTCATGCCCTGGTGGAACTCATGATCTTGAGGGATATGGGCCAGGTGAAGAGTAAAGACAGCACCCTGAATTTTAAGAGAGTGAAGTTTCAGTTGTTTAAGGCATTAGTGGATAGGCTCTGCCGGGAAACTGCCCTCAGGGATAAAGTTGCAGAGCAGAGCAGGCAGCTCATTAAGGACATTTTCCTGAGATCAGAAGAGCTCTAATTTCCCACATCAGGCAGGGAAGGCAGAAGACAAGTGTAGCTAAGTAAGGGACTGCTGATCAAAGTGAAGTACAAGAAGGAAATGCATAGCCAGTGAAATCAGGGGAGAACACAGGGAAGAATACAGGACAGCCATGGGGTGAGGAAAGCTGGGGCACATTGGAGTTGAGTTTGGCAAGGAGTGCAATCAATATGACAGGCTTCTATAGGTATATTAGGAGGCTTGAGAAGTGTACCCATGTGAACCTCATGAAGTGGCCCAAAACTGGGCACAATATTTCAGGTTCAGCCTCACTAGTGTCAAATAGAGAGGAATAATCACTTCTTTCAGCCTTTTGGCTATACCTCTGCTGTCCCCTGAATGGGTACAACAATGTACTCAACATCCATGTAGTCAGATGTTGTCCACATCTATCACAGGATGGGGTTTTTCATAACCTTTCAGTATCTGATTATCTTCTGTGTTGTGTTAATACAGATATCAATGAGTGTGCTTTGGATCCTGATATTTGCTCTAATGGGATTTGTGAGAACTTGCGTGGCAGCTATCGCTGTAACTGCAACAGTGGCTATGAACCTGACCCTTCTGGAAGGAACTGTGTGGGTAAGTTGTTTGTTGTTGTTTTTATTACTGTCAAATAATTTATCACTGTATTGATGCTAATTTGACTTGACAGAATTTAGAGTGCAAGACTTTCACTTTTTAAAGCTACAATTAAAATGCAAAGGGTCTGTATGAAAATGCTTTTCTCAATCACTGTGTAGTTGTTACTCTTACTGGTCTGTTTTTCTGTTATTTGGTAGAAGAGTATTACTGTTTGGGAAGTGTAAACTGGAGATACCATTGCAGGTTAGGAATTAACTTTCTCAAGAGCAAGGATCAGTTTGCATTACTTTTAAATGTATGACATTTGTCAAGACCACCTAAAATATGTTCCTTTCAAAGCTGGAAGGTAAATTGTCAAGAGCTGAAGGTCATTTTTTTGCATAATAAAATGTGACAGATGTCTGTCATTAGCATAATGAATGATAATGGGTGGCCTATGTCTCTACAGAGTGCAATGGTTCATTATATTCCTGAGTTACACAAGTACAGCAGAATTGCTGCACGCTTAGTCCTCTGATTTCTGAAAGCTTAAACTCATGAAGGAAGCAGTGATACACTCTTGGGCTTCCATAAATTATCACTGCAAGGTGGGCTCAAATGTAACAGATACGTTATTTTTTGGAATTTCAGGTCACCAGTATGCAGGAATGACTCACTTCAGAAACCTGGAATCGCCATTTGTAGTGTGGTTTGGGTTTATACCAGGTTCTTGTTAAAGTATCTAGGTAGATTTTCTGAAAATGTTTAGAAATACTTGACAAGAAAATACCTGTGACATACATTTCACTCTGTAGTTAATTTTATTATTCATGGTCATGCATGAAATCCAATGGTTTGTTTTTTTCTTTTGGGAATTCTTGCATCCAAAAAAAAAAAAAGTATTATATCACAAGTGCATTGTCCAATAATATTATAGTCCTATTACAGCCTTGTGATTTTAAACAGAAAACTGAAGTTTATTTGTATTAAAAGCTAATGAGAATCTCTCTGAAACCATTAGAAAGTCTTAAGTGTAGTCCTGATGTAGTGTGCTTATTTTGGGGAATTACTGCTCTCTGCACCTAGTGATTTACTGACCTGTCACTGCTCTTTGTGGTCAACAAAACCTCACCATTTTTGGTAGGGAAAACCTGGACTATACAGCTGTGGCACAATTTTCATATCAAACATTCTTATCTGGTGATGCAAAGCAAAGAATGTAAGAAAAGTGTTTCTTTCTACCTGCTTGATTTGAGGAATTTTATTTTATTCTGAAAGTTACTTCCTAAGTAATTTAAATTACTTCCAAAGGCCTTAAATATGACCTTTTGGCAGGAAAGACTCTGCAGCAGCAAACTGTTGGTGTTATTGTTGTGGTTTTTTTAAATGCTTCACATAATGTTTATTTTCCAAGTGCATTTTATGTCAAGGTATTTTATTCATCTAGTTACACTTGAAATTATATAAATGATAGCATAGCTATATTTCTGTTTAACTAAATGAAAATACATCATACTGACTGTGAGGATGAGTTTATTCTTAGGTAGTTTTTGCATACAAGAATTGAAGTATGAGTGCTCAGATAAAAGGTTAAAATGCTTTAATTAATGATACAGATTATGAGCTGGCAGGAAATAAAAATTGTTAGCAGTTAGAGTGCAGACAATATTTTTGTCAGGCTTAAGTGGGTTTAGAGCAATGGCTGCATTACTGTGTGTTTTTACAGTGCATACCACAGTAGATTACAATCCAGATTTGGAAGTTATTTTGTGAGAGTCTAAGGAAATAATACATTCATCAGACTTCACAGTTTGGGTTAAAGGTTTGTATGACAATGAGACCAAAATTGCTCTTGAAAATGTCAATTTCCAAATCCATCCTCCATTCCTTAGCTGAAAGTTAGATTAAGGACAGGTTAATTTAGAAGAGCAATTGTTTTACACCTGCCAAACTTAATTCTCGGATTCATCATCTGGGGAAATTTAGACTTTCTTGTTTGAATCCTAAAAGAATTCATAAGCATAGCTTGGAAAAGTAGTTGGGAAACCAAAAGCATCCAGATTGTAATTATATTGCATTCTTGTTTTTTCTTCTTTATTTTTAAACCCCCTAAAAAATCTAGGAAAGTCAAGCAGTTCAGAGAGAGGAGACACCCCTAAGTATAGACACCCCTAAGGATAGAGTGTCAGATTTATTGTGGCTTATCCTGTCACTATTTTTCTATGTGCTTAGGTATTTGTGGCATGTGATGGGCATTAAAAGGAAAGTTTACCTCCAGTCATACATGAACTGAACAGTATAGATTTTAATCCACTTCATGGATAACAAAACCAGTTTTTGCCTATAAACCAGGATTAGAACAGTAGTTAGCACTCTACTGTTTGTGTGTTTAAAGAGAAATACTTAAAATACTGGTTTCAAAGGAAATGGACCTTCATGAATTTATAGGGTATGGTCCTAAAACTGTCAAAGATCCCATGGTCATTGCAGGAAAAGATAATTATCTCTTTAAAGCTAACCACGAACTCTTTTTAGAGCCTGCTGGTGAAAATACTTTAAAAGCAGAACGCAGATTTTTTGTAATAAGATTCTGAAAACTAATTAGAGAACTGTCATTTTTCCTTGCTTGGCCACTGAATTGGAAAACTGCATATCCACAACCTAATGGCTGCTACAGAAATCAACAGGGGCTACTCGTGGAGGTGAAGGCATCTTGGGACATTTGTGCTCATTGCCTGACTCATCTCTTGCAGACATTGATGAGTGTTCCATGAACGGGTTGCTGTGTGACAACGGGCTCTGCCGCAACACCCCTGGGAGTTACAGCTGCACTTGTCCAAAGGGTTTCATGTTCAGCATGGAGACAGACACATGTGAAGGTGACAAACCTGCCAGCTGTGTTAATTTATTTACTGTATAATATTGGAGCTAAGAGTCAGAGGAAAAGAACTAAGATATTGCATAAATCTTCACATTCCTCTTGTAATTTCTCCGATGTGTTTTTAGTGTGTTGGGTATTGCTACTGAATGTCTTTCAAAGCGATCAAAGCCAGGTTGGATAAAGCCTGGAACAACCTGGTCTGTTGGGAGGTGTCCCTGCCCATGGTAGAGGGTTGGGGCTGGATGATCTCTAGGTCTATTCCAACCTCTAAAATTCTATGATTCTGTGATTCTAATCAGTTCATTTTTATGTGAAAATATTTTCCTTTCCTTAGATAAAACACTTTTTAACCACAATAAGAGGGAATACATGCCTGTCTTTGATCATGTAGCAGGAACACCTGGTCTGCCATTCAGGCAAATGCATCTACTTTGATCACAGTCTCTTCTTTCTTTTCTCCTTTCGGCCTGTGGCGATAGTTAATCCTAGATCAAATTCTGTTATCTATGACGTGTTCCAGGATCTGTGTATTATTGCCTAGTAATACTAAAATTGTCCATTATTTTTACAGTATAATCAAAATTGTTGTCTTATATTGCTGTCTTAAGGTTGGTGAGACCCTGTCCCAGGTTGCCCAGGGAGGCTGTATCTGCCCCAACCCTGGTAGTGTTCAAGGCCAGACTGGATGAGCCTTGAGCAACCTGATATGGTGAGGAGGTTTCCCTGCCCATGGCAGGGTGTGGGGACTAGATGGCCTGTAAGGTCCATTCCAACCCTTAAATTCTGTGATTCTATGATTCGATATTGATAATTCACACAGATATCAGAACAACAAAAATGTTGCATAGCAGAAACTAATGAGAAATTTTAATTACAAAAGAAAAAATCAAGACTTTACTAAAAGAAGTCAAGATGGATGCATTGGCTTATGTGCCAACTTTTATTTAACCTTCAGGGTAGTGGAGTTTTACTGGTCTTTTCCATTATTTTTTCCCCATGATCTATAAATCTCAGTATTTGTTACTATTAGCAAGTTTTTATAGCAAATAGCCTTGCATTTCAGTTAGTGATGGGGAAGCTATAATCCTTTGTTGTGGAATACCTATTATGTGAACCAGTGTAATAATCCAGATTTTTCTGAAGTGGTGGAAGACATTATTGTCCTCAGTTGCTTGTCGTTACTGATCAGAGAGAAGTTACAGTCATACAGCTAAACAAATATATAGCAAGGAAAGTGGAAGTGGTTTAAATTCTGGCAGTATCAAGTCATTCACATCTTCTCCTCTTCTATACAAAAGAAATCACATTCCTTTATATTTTAATGCATGTGAGGTTCAGAGGTCACTTTTAAAAATTAAAAGTTCTGCTCTTTCTTTGTGTTACAAATTGAAAGAATCATAGAATTTAGGAGCTGGAATGGACCTCACAGATCATCTAGTCCCAACCCCTGCCCTGGGCAGGGACACCTCCTCACCAGAGCAGGTTGCTCAAGGTCTTATCCAACCTGGCCTTGAACACCACCAGGGTTGGGGCAGCCACAGCCTCCCTGGGCAACCTGGGACAGATCCTCACAGGGAAAAAGTTTGCTCTCACATCCAGCCTAGACTTCCCCTCCTTCAGTTTGAACCCATTACCCCTTGTCCTATCACTGCAGTTCCTAACACAGAGTCCCTCTCTGGCTCCTTGTAGGCCCTTCAGAGATTGAAAAGTTGCTCTGAGGTCTCCACACAACCTTCTCTTCTCCAGGCTGAGCAGCCCCAACTCCCTCAGCCTGTCCTCACAGGGAAGATGCTCCAGTCCTCTTAGCAACTTTGTGGCCTCCCCTAGACTTGCTCCAACAGTTCCCTGTCCTTCTTATGTTGAGGACACCAGAACTGTGTGCAGTATTCCAGGTGAGGGTCTGATGAGAGCCGAGTAGAGGGGAAGAATCACCTCTTTTGACCTGCTGGACACACTCCTGTGGATGCAGCCCAGGATTCCATTGGCTTTCTGGGCTGTCAGAGCCCACTGCAGCTCATGGGGTGAGCTTCCCATCCAAATTGGTAGCACATTTTCAGAGCAAGGGTTTTCCCATGGATTTATGGTGCTTTGGGTGCTAAGTTGTCTCAATGCCGATTCTCTATCCACAGTGTTCAGGGTTTTATCTTTCAGGATCTGTCTTTGTGATTAGTATTTGTGTATTGAAAAATTTCTATCTGTGAAACTAAAATGCCCTTAATATACATGTTTATTAAGGCATCTCCTAGACAGAAAAACTGAAGTAGTGTGGTAAAGGGTTCATTGCCAAGGTGGAAATGCATCAGAGCATCATCAACACTGGAGCATAACACTGACCAAAAGGTGGATGAATGAGATGCCAGAATGCAAGCAACATAGTCACTACTGTTGAAATATTGCGTATCTAGATTTTCAAACAGAACATGTAGATTTATTTTTTAATGGTAGTAATAACAGTAATACTAATACAAAGACTCAAAATAAGGATTTGACAGCAAAAACAGCAAGAAAAAATGGTTTCAAGGTTGCAAAGAGCCACCACAGAACCACCACAGCTTTAAGAAAATCGTTTCTGTCTATTAGACATCCTTATCATCACTGCAGTGTGTTTTCTCTTGTGTAGAAGAGGTTTGGGATCATGGTATAATGAACTGAATGTGGAAGCTTCTCATTTTAGGATTTTTGTGACCAGGGTATAAGTGGAGAAGAGTATGAGGGAGAGTTACTCTGGAGTGGAAACGAATTTAATAATTCTTTTGAGTTAATAGTCCATTAAGAAAAGGATGGATCCTCAGATAGCACTGCCAGGTGATATTGACTGCAAAGCCACAGAACAGGAGAAGAGTTACAGTTGAATTTACAGGAAAGTATATGAAGGGAGGATACTAGCAGAAATTCAGGCATGTGCCTTCTTAATGGTGTCTCAGAGTATTTAGCTATGGAATGTGACCATTTCTAGGCTTTGTGTAAGGGATTTAGGTGCATTCCCTACGTTATCAATTCTAAAAACTTGAATAAAGAATTAGTATGATTTACTCAAGCTAACACTTTAATAATGCCTCTGGCAGGCATCTAGTAAGTAATACAGGAACTGAGATATTTCTCAACTTGAGCTAACCAGATTGTGATGTAGAAAATACACAACTTATATATGCAGGTGGTTATCTAAATTGAAATCTGTACTACTGTGAAGGAATATTTGCTGAGTTGATCATTCAGTCTCATTATGTTAGGCTGTTTGGGTTTATATTTTTTGGGTTTGGTGAGATTTTAAGTAATCCATTTGTTTTTGTTTTGCTTTTTTCAATCTTTTTTTAGATATTCATAAAAAACCATGCATCTGTACATGCTTGCAATATTTGTACTGTGGCTCCTGCAAAGACTAATGAAAAAGTACTATCTTACATTCCAAAGGGTAATAAAAGAGGATAGATCCTGTCTCATCTCTTTTTCCTGGTAGCTGTCAGATTTAGCTTGTTACTAAAAAGAAGGATATGTTGCCATCTTCATATATAGAATAACAGTGACTGTGCTTCTCTTGGCTGCATTTTGTCATCATTGTATGTTTACTGAACTCTGAGCAATGAGGCTGTGATTGCGCATGGATACAGAAATAGTATTTAAACCAATAGACATTTTTAATAGAGGAAAACAAATCCCTTTTTTCATTTGGGAAGAAAAAACCAACCCAACAAACAACAGATCATTAATTAAAATTTCAGATTTGTAAGATACTTCCTTTCTAAATATAGTTTAGTGTGGTCACCCTAAAATACTTTTCACTTTAATTCTGAATCTGAGGGATTTTCAGTTTCATTCAATATTGTTATCTACATTAACTTATATACACAGGTTGTGAAGGTTCCATCATCTTCCTCTTGAATCTCATCTACATGTTTGAATGTAGGAGGTGAGGTTAAAGAGCTAGCCAGGAGGGGGGTTGTGTAAAACTGCCTATTAAGTGTGTAGCATTTTTACTAGTGTTGAGTAGGCAGTAGTAATGTTTGGTTGGCAGTAGAGGAATAAATTGTTCTCTTTCTGCCCAAATTCCATTTTCAAGGGAACACTACATAATTTGGTTTGGAGTTACAAGTTTGCTAGTTGTAAAAACCTCCTGTAGTCAGGAGCTCTGTGTTGTGCTCTGAAAATGCTCTGATGCTTACTACTCACTAGCATATTTTTAATATAGCTCTCAGCAGCAGCTGTGAAGAAACAACAAAATCCTTCACTATTTATGTTTATAGTTGAATTGAGATTTTTTTATCAGTTTGTTGTGAGGAGTGGGAGAATTGTTTAGGGCTCGAGAGTCTGTGAAAGTTGAGATTTTTACAACAAGCTCTGTGGTTTAGTTTGTGTTTCCAGTGACATAACTTGTTAAATGTAAACCAGATGTGCTTTGAAGTTCATTTCCAGGAATGTTCAGTGGACTGTTTCAATTTTTGTCTCCCTGACATTTACAATGTACACTCACTTCACTTAGGAGAAAAAATACTTTTTTACAAAGCACCTCAATAAATATTTTCATACATAGTTGGTTTTATTTGAAAATTCAAACCAGTATTAAAATCAAGTTGGTTTCTTGCTCACTCTTTTTAAAACTACTGATTAATATTATTATAAGAAGGTGTAGGGAGTTTGTTTACATTGTGCTTATGATACTTTTTGCCTGATTCAGCAGTGCTCTAAATGCATTCATCTTTTAACATTTTTTTTCCTGAATGGTGGGTTTGCAGAGTAGTCAATGCACTATTATAAACCTGTAAGCGCCCCAAATCATTTGGTTTCCTTTTTATTTCCTTTTTTTTTTTTACTTATTTTGCATAGTGCTGAAGTATCTGAAATGTAGAAAGCTGCAAAATGGTTTTTCGTGGGGTAAGAGGCCTAGACCATAGTCACAAGATAGTTTTAGGAGCATCCAGAAGTTAATGCTGCCAGATATATGTGCCCTAATCCTCTTTCTACTGCATAGAGAGAAATGGAATGAGTATTCCTTCACCTGCA